TCAGAAAAGAAATGCGTATGTTTGAGATTCGAAACTTAAAGAAAATATGCGAAAAAAATCGAATAATTGCAAAAAGCACGTTTTTCGCTTATAAAACGAAAGATATTGATTGTATGGAAAAAAATTCAGTATAAAAAATATAGGTATTCGAAATACCTATAAAAGACGTGGAACATTAAAATCGATTTATTAGTTTAGTAGAAAAAAAAATAAAAAACATTTGAAAAAGATCTCTGTTCATTGAGATTTAAATGCAAAGCTTTGAAATTCTTGTAAAATGTAGCCCTCGTAATGACAAACAAATCTAGCTCTGAACAAGCCTGAAATGTTCATTAGTTTTTGAAAAAAGCCATTTGTTCACTAAAAACGGAAAACTTAATTTCTTCATTTTTGAGCAGTCACACAGCAATTTACAAAAGTGATTTTTCTTCTTCAAGAATTGTAATATCACGTACACTCAATAACAAAACGATTTTTTGCAGTTAAACTATTATAACGACTTTAAAAAGTGTATCTTTTTCCGTATAAAAAAATGGAATAATTCCATTAATATGCATCATATCAAATAGCTGTGTGAAACATTCAACATCTGACATTTTTCTACAAATTTAAAAAAAAAACTTCGATTATTAGGAGCCGAGATAACAATTTTTTAAAGAATCTATCACTGTGGCTCTAATTTTTAAGATTAAGACTTCCGTCTGGCACCAATTTGTGAAGGAAGAATTGAATTTGCTGTTAAAAATTCTCAAATTTTTTGTTGCCGAAAAAGTTTGTTTAAAATCATTGAAAAGTTGAAGAACGCGAGCGAGGCAGTATGCCTCGTGGAGTGAGGGAAGCCGGCGTACAGTCGAATAGGTAAGATCGGGTCGCTCGGCGATTCGCGCGTATTTGATTACGTGCATTAAAACTTGCTAAATTTACATTTTCTCAGCAATAAATTGACATGGAAACACAATTTTTTTTAAATCTGAGGCAGCTCGACGAGATATAAACAAATAACTTAACCAAATCTTTTGCAAAGTAATTGTAGTAACTTTTAGTTTTTTGTTTCTTGAATTTTTATTTTTTCGATTTATTATTAAAAAATCACGTTTGAGTATGAAGTGTATATCTGATTAACAAATTTAAATCACATTAATTATGTTTCTTTATTTAATATGCTGTAAAAAATGTCCAATTGGACAATTTAAATGTACGGAATTATCAGTACAAAATTGTTTTTGTGAATTAATTGCAGATGCAAATATGACATATGTAAACAAATTATTAATAAATAATTTGCCAAATGTTAGTGTAATTGTTGAATATAATTGCAAAATATATTTTTCGTAACACTAATTTACTTTTATATTTGCGAAAGTTAGTGCTATATCTTCAACAGTTACGCTAACATTTTACGAGAATTTCAAAGCTTTGCGTTTAAATCTCAATGAACAGAGAGCAAGTGAAAAAAAGGCTTTTTTCAATGTTTTTTATTTTTTTCTACTAAACTAATAGATCGATTTTAATGTTACATGTCTCATTTTATAGGAGTATTTCGAATACCTACATTTTTTATACCGAACTTTTTTGCATACAATCAATATCTTTCGTTTTATAAGTGAAAAACGTGCTTTTCAATTTTGAAAAATAACTATTCAATTTTTTTCCGCATATTTTCTTCACAAGTCTCGAGTCTTAAACATGTGCATTTCTTTTCTGATGGCATTTCGAAACTTTGAAAAGAAATGCTAGTTTATAATTTTTTTTCTGGTTAAATTTTACTTCTACTGAACTATCCTTGCTCGAGTTTATGAAGGAGGAGTATACTGTATAACGCGCATGAAAAATCATAAACAATTAAATATCTCATAAACTATTGCGTTCTAACATAATTTATTATTCTGTATTAATAGGAGGGGTACACTATTATTACAATTTATTAGAACTTATCTGTTATTTAGAATGTCCCCGCCCCTTATTGACGCCTAAGGCCGTTGAGCGGCCGAGATTGCCGAGAAAGCACTTTCGGTCGCTTGAAACAACGATTAGTATGAGAAGGAACTCGCTGTCTCGTTCACTCTCGGCGCGCCGCAGGCGAGCACATGAACTAGTGCTTAAGTGTTTGGCTATCGATTTCGCCAGACTGCCGTCTGATTTTGTGTCGCCATCGTCAACGCAGAGTTTTTGACTGAGTAGTCAGGAGCCTTAAAACCTATTCTATACCCTTCCTTACTTATGTAATAACTTTACACGAGAAGCGACTCCTACCTGACCTTTTCCCCTGCTTGGGAGCGCACGACTTCCACGTGAAGCGACTCTCATGTCACCTGCTGCCCCCCCCTACTTGGAAACACACGACTTCCACGCAACTTTCGAAGTCGTGATCCTGAGTGATCTCCAATAAGACTTCGAAAGTCACTTCATGTGAAAATCATGCGTCCTCGAACGGAGGGGAGGGGGGAGTGGAGTGGGAGTCGCTTCGCGTGGAAAGTCAAGTAAAATATATTTTAAAGCAGAAAATTTCTGTTTGATATAGTAGAAAAGAGATATTATTTTTCAAACTTCTTTCGTTAATAATTTTTTAACGAAGCGATTAAAATTTATTGGAAGTCACTCAGGGCTAATCTTAATAATATATGTCAATTGGAGCTAGGTCCCCTATAGTCGATATTTATCCCACACATTACTTGTGATTATCGAAACATTGCCGGAAATTATGTGCATTAACGTTCTCCTCTATTCTTTCGTGTAAATTGTAAAGGTGTTTAAATTGGTGCTTAAATGCCAATAAATTTGTTTTAAACAGAATCACAATTGCAATAATGTCAAATTTATTTAGAATTTTTACGTTAGTATAAAATATAAAAATTGCTTATGTTTCAATTGACTAAAATAGTACTCGTCCAATTACACGTACACATCTCAGATAACCAAACGTGATTTGGCATATTAGACAAACTAATGTATATGCACGAGTTGTTGTGAAGTTGCTGTCAATTTGCCGACATCAGAATCTTATGTGCAAACTGAGTTAGCAACAGGTCAAGTAAACATCATCACTTAGATAGCCAAATTTGCTGAAAATGGATTTTGTAAAAAACCTTGCTACAAACCTTGCTAGCAAAAAGGATACAAATTGGCAGCAAGATTTGATATTATATATCAAATAATATCAACAATTTGCCATCATTTTGCCGTTATTCTGTGTGCGACCATCCTCTCGTGTTCACGTGCGTGACCGGTACACAAGCCGTTTTTTATTCTTCGATATTGTACGACGCGAGTGTAATCTAAGATGCATTAAAGTATTTTCGCACAAAGCAAACTGCCTCATTTTATTACGCGCTGCCGAATCATCGGGCGTGGTCATAAGGCAAGCGACACAGATCGCCGACAAGCCACAAAGCACAAAAGTCTCTGACGAAGAGAAAACAGCGTTCCACGCAACAAGGACACTAAGATCCTTTCCCTAACATTGGTCCTTCCAAATATGTAACAAAACTTGATGTCGCAATTTGGCTGCAAATTGATAACAAAATGCGAACAAATATGTATATTTATACAAATTGGCACCAAATTGGTAGCAAGCCTTTGCGTAAAAAACATTGTTTGGCGACAAATTCGCGGCAAAATCCAAACAAGATTTGATATTTTGATATTTGATAAAACATCGTTGAATAGTACGCGGCACCGCCATTAGAGAGATACACGAGTTAAATTTCTTCAACACACAGATTAGAATAAAAGACGTAGCATTAAGAAATTTTTCAGTTGTGTTCTAATAATAATTAATTTTTTAAGTGAGCCACAAGGGCTCCAAGATAAAAGCATAATACTTTTTTTTTAAATCTTTATTTTACATCGATTAAATAAGAAAAAAAATCATTATTAATAATAGTATCGATTAAATATCGGTATTCATTTTACAGAAATATACTGTCATTATTAAATTGCCTGTGATTAATAATTTTGTTAATATTGATTGAAAGCATTAACGATTGTGTATTTAATACTTAAATTAAGTAATTAATCATTGGCCAATTTAAGTATACTGCCAATATACTTTTATAAGGGTCAATGATCATTTAAATGACTGCAAAATATCAAATGTTGCTTGGATTTTACTGCAAATTTATCATTAAATAATAACGCAAAATTTGCTGTCAATTTGTCGTCAAACAGTGCACATTATGCAAAGTTTGCTGTCAATTTGGTGTCAATTTGTCCTCAAACAGTGCTACGCAAAACTTGTGCTAATTTGTTGCCTAGTTTTGTAACGAAAGCTTTACATGCAAAATACAAGCTTACTGCTGATACAGGTGGCACCAGATTTCTTACTAAGCTTTGAGCGAGTTTGATACCAAATTGGCACCCAATTGTTAGCAAATTGCTTACTGGACAGAAATTTCAAGAGAATATGTTGAGAATTAATAACACCTCATGTTGACAATAAAATAACAATACGCAATGAGCTTCATTTATTTCATATATAGTATTGTGCCGACAATATAATGGTTAATTGATGGCACGTATATTTTACATGTCATCAAGGTGCTATCAACTTGATATCATCAAATTTAGAATTTATGTGAGGGCAATAACATTTCATGTATACTGAGGAAGCACCTTCCTAGTTTGTCAACATCTACTGCAACAACATGACGGCATCTTGAACTCATTTGACTATCTGAGATTAATGCAATAAGAAAATTATTCATTTAATTTAATAAGATATAAATTTATATATATCCTGTCATAATAGACAAGTAATAACAATATTAGTAATAATGGGGGAGGGGGGAGGATGAGGGGGATTGCATTATATAATAATTTGGTAATATTTTTTTTTTCATTTTCATAATTCGCTAATAGATATACGAACATTATTTGTCGACACTTACTTTACAATTGTATATGATAAGCAAATGAAATAACAAATTTATTGGCCTTTTATTTACCAATTAAAAATTATACAATTAGTCTTTTGGATAAATAATAAATGTAATTACAGAGGCCTAATTTGTTATTATGAACTTTATAAATATACATGGTACACATCAGGACCATTGCGGATTATAATCCTTACTAAAACATCACACTCATATTCGTTGACGTTAATCATTCACACATTCAATTAGTTATTATACGCGTATCGGCAGAAACGTTTCAAATTAGCAATAACAAATCGTCGATAAATGTTATACACACACATACACACACACATTTTTTTTTTCTCGCATTGTAAAATTATTACATACAGATGGCATCAATTTGATATAACATATCTATATAGTATCAAAATAAATAGTTTCATTGCCATCAGTTTTGTTTCTGTGTCCATTGACTCAATTCAGCTATCACGAGCGCTATTCTTGGGCATTCCGCAACGATGGATTTTGTACTTTTCCTTGATCGATCCATAATTACACTTTACAATTATGTATGTATGTTGTATGCATCGAGTTAATATCAATCGACGATCCGTTCTTTCTTATGTTGATTTTATGTGATCTGCATGATATCAAAATGGCCAAAATGAAATGCAGATTCGTATAATTTCAGAAGCTCATACGCACATCACTTCCGCTTCAATGTCAGTGAAGCAATCAGTGCGTAGTAATCGTAGATTATTTATGGTAGGGATTGCTACAAGCTTGCTTTCTTACACATTTGCTAATAATATTGTTACTTTCTGGTAACAGCTTGAAATCTGGGTAAGCAAAGACCGAACTTGGTTTCTATACCGGTAAAAATGGGTAGAGCTACTTGGTAACCACCTATATGATCTGGATTCGTTGATCGAATTTCATCTGCTACTCCCATAGTAGGCACCTTTTGTTCCGAGCCAGTAGGTCGACTAAAATAACAAAAATATGGTTACACATTTATTAATTAAAATATAGATATTATACAATATAGATTTTTTAGAATTTAAAAAGTTTATGTCATCATATTATGTAAATTATACATTATGTAAATTAATCTTTGGGATTTGAATTTAATCTCTGGCACCTTCATCGGCCTTGACTCTCATTAGTCTTGAATTTATTATTTATTTTTATTTTTAAGATTGTGAGTTTGTAATAATTTGATATTTATATCAATATTAATTAGGCACACCATAGATTTCTATCATAAATTTCAGTATAAATTATGAATATTATAAATTCTAATCGAGCTTAAAATTTCTGACAGATATATTAGTTTCTGAATACAATTTTATGATAAAAATAAAAAATCGTATAAATTTTTTTTACATTACAAAGCATCGAAACATATTTTATATAATTTGGCGTATCACAGCCTGTACTCGATGAAATGTATAGAATGTATCAAAGATATTGTCAAATAATTTTATTTTTCACTGAATAATAAACAGTTATAAATCTTGATTATAAGATCCCTAGATAACAAGTTATCGTTATTTTGACGTCGATAGTTAATCATTTTAAATTATTGACGTCATCATCATGTGATCTATTTAAGATATAATAATGATGTCATTTTTTTAATCAATTAATGATCATTTATTTATAATATTTTTACAATATCGTCGTACTTAATGATATCGAATAAATGATCAATTATCGACGTACTAGTAACATTATTAGTAATTAATTAATAACGTTATACATTTATTCTGTTAATAACACGAAAATAATGATGTCAGTTTATGATGTTGTGTGAGTGATAAGAAATATAAGAATTCATTTGTATAATGTTTAGACGTCAAGGTGCTTATTATGGTTCTTAAAATGAAATGGAAATTACAAAAATAATTGAATGTACTAGAATATTTATAACTTCAACACCTAGCAAATTTATTCATTTTTAATCATTTTTTAAATGTAATTTTCATCTCGTTTCAGGAATCATAGATTCATCATAAAAACAACTAATTAATGACATCAAATGGACAACATCTTGCTATCGTCAATAACATGAAAAAGAAAAACGTATTTTTGATGTCGACTTATGATGTTATATATCTGTGACAAATCCACGTCATTTTTACAATGTTTGGACATCACATTCGTCATAAAAACTGATAAATAATGACTAATTAATGACGTTAAATACATAACACCTTGCTACCTGGGTTTATTTCTGTTGAAAATATGTGTGTGTAGAATACACAAATTAAAGTTATGTAAATTTATGTATTACGCAAATTAAATTATATTTATTTATTAATAGTCTAAAAGTTATTGACATAAATGTATGTTAATATATAAAAACGATCAGTAAACGAACACATTCAGATCTTAGATTAAAATATATTTAAAATAAAGACTATATAATAAAAATGTTTTGATTCTACAGAGCTTTCATCAGTTTATAATTTAATTTACGTCTTACATTACTAACGCATACTCTAGCCATTCCATGTCATCCTCCAGATAGCAGTCTATAATCAGTGATTTGATTCAGATTTTTATCATCGCATCATATTTTTTAATGAAATATAGTCAGATGTATAACATTTTTTTCTTTAAAACAAATCTTCGTTTGTCAACGAAGATCAATGTTTTTGTCCCAATTAATGATAATAGTTATATAAAAGATCTAAAATATATATATAAAAGATAGAAAATCTAATTTATAGCAATACTTATATTCATATTATTAATAGCTGAGTCTCTGTCGACAACATATTCTATATAATCTGTATAAAGAATATCGACGCCTGAATCGTGAAAAGTGCTATATCGAGAAAAACATGAAGAAAGGTTTATATCAAAAATGCATAAAAAACGATCTATTTCACATAAGGCATAAAGATCGAAACGCATATGAAGTACGGTTTATATTGAGTAAATGAGAAGAACCGGTTCAAGCCGGTTCAAGTCGCATGAAATTAAAGAAGAGGTTATACAGCGCAATATATTTTTTCTCATCAATTTTATAATGGTATGACTGAGAACAGGAATCGTCTTGATTTTCAATCCTGTTTCTCGCATTCATTTATTCATACATTGTTTAATTTTCCGTAAATTTGCGTAATTTATGAATAGTGAATATTGCGCTGTATAAATTTTAATTTTATCCATTCTTTTTATTTTCTCGATATAAACCGTATACGTTCCGACATAAACTGGTCTTTACACATCACGTGAAATAGATACTTTTCATTCATTTCTTGACAGAGATCTTTCTTTATGTTTTTTTCGATGCAACATTTCGTAGCATTTTCTACGGCTCAGGTGTCGATATATTAAACAATTTCGTTGGAAAAAGGAGAATAGATTTAATACAGTATTTGCAGTATCATGCACGCACGCACGCACGCACGCACGCACGCACGCACGCGCGCGCGCACGCACGCACGCACGCACGCACGCACGCAAGCACGCACGCACGGACGCACGCACGCACGCACGCACGCACGCGCGCGCGCACGCACGCACGCACGCACGCACGCGCGCGCGCACGCACGCACGCACGCACGCACGCGCGCGCGCACGCACGCACGCACGCACGCACGCGCGCGCGCACGCACGCACGCACGCACGCACGCGCGCGCGCACGCACGCACGCACGCACGCACGCACGCAAGCACGCACGCACGGACGCACGCACGCACGCACGCACGCACGCGCGCGCGCACGCACGCACGCACGCACGCACGCGCGCGCGCACGCACGCACGCACGCACGCACGCGCGCGCGCACGCACGCACGCACGCACGCACGCACGCAAGCACGCACGCACGGACGCACGCACGCACGCACGCACGCAAGCACGCACGCACGGACGCACGCACGCACGCACGCACGCACGCACGCAAGCACGCACGCACGGACGCACGCACGCACGCACGCACGCACGCACGCGCGCGCGCACGCACGCACGCACGCACGCACGCACGCACGCACGCAATGTTGTTTTTAGAATAATAGCAAATATAACAAAATTGACAAAATGTAATAGTAAATTAGTGGCAGAAATCGGGAAGAATTTGTATTTATGTCAGTATTAAGTGTAGGAATTCTTTTTTTTAGCGAAATATATAAGTTTAATCCAGAAAAGTTGATATCAATCTGCTTTTGTTTAATTTTTGTTCAAATCTTGTTGGTTTTATAGGCAACTAATAAATTGCATAATCCAATATTTACATAATGACTGGATCAGAAATCGTAACTGTTCGGATTTAAATCGGATTCGATTCTGATAGTACAAGATAAAAATTATCATATATAAGATATTTCAAAATTCGCGAAGTACGAAACATGATACTTTATGATTAAAGAAACAACTTTTCCTTTTTGCGAAATTGCGTCGGACAAGTAATTTTTGTAGGAGAGCAGATTGAAGTAAGTGTGCTCTGATCTCTATGTGACGCTCGGCGCGTGCTCCTTATTCATTTCTTCAATCCTTGGCTAATATTTATAAGTAACATTTTAAGATATTAATACAGCTTTGTTAGAAAGAGTTTACAACTACTTAAGTCTGTATTTAAGGCAATAATTACAAGAATCAACTATGAATACTGAACCATGATCTTCTTCTGTATTGCATTGCTAAAAAAAATGAAAAGATTGCAGAATAAATATTGCTTTCACTTTTTATGTAATAATAAATAAGTGAAAAATAAATAAAAGAATTGTCTAATTTCATAAATCTATCTAAAAGTGAAGACAAATGTAAATAACAATATGCTTGGTAAGCTTTGTTAAGCTATTTACTTTATTGAACTATTCTTTTAAATATTCCACAATTTCATATAGCAGTTAAATAATCATCACTGAACTTAAATAATAGTTTACTAATTAAATGAGTACGTAATCCTTAGATGTCTAAAAACTGATTTATTTTGAAATAGTAATTAAAAATAAAATATTCAAATTATGGTATTTTAAGAATTATAGATTCTCTCTATATTTTTTAAAAAACTTATTCAAAATAATTAATTTTTAAAATGTTGTAATACTTACATAATTACCTGAAATCTGAGTAACAATTGTATCGATACCTTTAAATTTATCGCGACATTATATTGAATCGGTGCGAAAAATGCGATTAAGAAATCAATGACGTCATCCATCGATTAATTCCACGGATAGTCTCATCATAAATGCGGTACCTTTTTACGAATCTCTATTGTGTTCCAAATTCGGCGTTATCCCGTTCCGTCAATCACGTGATGAGGCGCTTCCCGACAAGGTAACGGTGTCTATATTTAGAAAGAATTCAGTTTTTAGCAGGACCCATGTGTCTGTTTATCGCTCTGAGTTATCATGTGACCAGTCGGCAATCTAGATTGTAGCGCAACCGCGAATTCCATAGCAAAGTGGATCGGCAGGGTTGACATTCATTGTCGGATTGCTGATCAAATCTTTCAAAAGCCACTGCTTTCTGACGCAGCGTTCGCTATCGCGACGCGCGTTCTACCGTTATGTGACGGTTGCAGCTACGTGTAGCTTACGTTGCTTCAGCTATCGCCATTCGCATTCTTCCCGAGAAAATCGAACGCAACGTTGATGAAGCATAGTACTACGGCATTAAAAAGCTTATACAGTCCTCGAAAACCGAGTGTAGTCTCTCAAGTTTCCATCTAATCCCTTTCCGTCTCGCACGATCTCAATCGAGATCGAAACAGCGATTCTCACACAAAATTTAACACATTTTTAAAAGTGCTATTTACCACAATTGTACAATATTTAAAAGAATAGAACGTTCAACAAGCATATATTATTATTTCCCAATGGGTAGATATTATATTATATATTATTATTTCCCAATGGGTAGAAAATATTTTTTAAACGTTTTTTAAACATTTATCATTCATTAATTTTACATTTCATGATTCGTTTTCAAAATAACATTCATTTAACGTTTTTTAAATGTTTATTAAAT